CTTTATATGTGGTTCAGAGTTCTGGGACCATCCCCTGAATCTGCTTGGTCGGGTATTCTGTGTTGTTGTTGGCGGAGCTCTCTGCTATACATCCACCCGATCCGCCATCTTGTTTGTTCTCCCTGTCCTTACTTTTGAGCTGTACTCTCCATCTCTTTTCTCTGTCTCTCCAGCAGACTGCAAGAGGTTCCAGATTCAGTTGGGAGGATTGTAAGGTTCTGACAGGGGCACACCCCAGTGAACTCTCAAAACTCCCGAACCTAGAATTTCTTTCTCCAACTGCTCATATACAAATAGTCCACTCTTCTCCTTTCTCTCTCACCCTCTGCAACAGATTACAAGGGATCCCAAATGCTTTCAAGAGGATTGAGAGGCCAGGCCAGGGTACCCCATGATTGTTCTCAAAACTCTTGTCAAGTCCTTTTCCCAACCACTAACTTCCAAGTAGTCCTGTGTTTCTTTTACACAGCTCCAGGTCTCGGAGGCCATTTTTCCAGATCTTTCCTCATCCAACACTGGTCTGATTCCTGGGTCTAGGTAAGTCACTCCCCGGCACCTTCACCTGAGGATCACAAGAGATTCTGCCTCGTCCCCTGATCCTCAGAGGATCACTTGGACTCCACTGAGAGAGGGTGCAGGGCAGCCCCGGAACCCTTCTCCAGGCTATCCGGTCAGATAGTCAGACTTCCAGTCGTATGAGAAAGCAGACACTGCCCAAAATGGGAGTTTGGGGTTTCACAAACCACCCTCTCCTCTCTAGGCTGCCTTCTGAACAACCTAAAGAAATTACATCTAACAGAAATCAATAAAAAAAAAAAAAATGTAATTGATTTCTGCAATATAGCCCGGCTGCAATTATAAACTGGAGAGCGACAGTCAGTGCCCAGAAAACAGCACCTTTGACTTCCAAATTCTCAAGAGACACTGACATAACTAGAAAAGAAAATGGGAGGAGGTTCCAGAATCCAAACCTTTTTCTTCCTCCATACATACATACATACATACATACATACATACATACACACACACACTCTCTCACACCGCCGCCGCCTCAACTCACCAAATTCTTTTAAATGTAAAACCTTCTCAAAAACAATTTCCTCCTAAATTTCCCTTTGATCCTGCCAATGAACATCCCCATTAGTTGCACCAGCCTTTGCACCTCCCCTTCTCCTCTACTCATTTCCCCTTCCAAAGATTCTCCTCTCTTGCTGTCACCCAATCCCGGGGTATAGTACCAACTATCCTTCCCTTAAGGGAAGTACGTGAGATCAATTGCCCCGCCCTAGTACATGTTCCTTTTTTATGTCAAATCTTTCCCAGATCCAAGAACGCTTACATCCTTTTCTGAAAACCCACAAAGAGTTCCTGCTGGTAACCCAGTCTTTTAGTTGAATTTGGCATGATATTTGCATTATTTTAAATGCTACCTTGACCCCAGAAAAAAAGGAATTCCTATGGAGAGCAGCAGAAGTCCATGCTGATGCCCTCCATGAGCAGGCTCCCACCCCATCACTTTGTAGCAGCAGATGCCCTCTCTCTGCAGAGAACCTAATTGGAGTTATCAACAAGAAAGTGAAGATATCCAACAATGTGATTACATGACTACTTATTTTATATAGTGTAATAGATAAAAATTCCCACAAGGCTGTCAATATGATAAATTACGTGAGGTCACCCAAGACTCCAATGAAAATCTTGCCCTTTTTCTTTCCTGCCTTTCAAAGGTCAGGATAAAATATACCAACATGAATGAAAGCCAACAAAACCTAAGAGGAAGGTTCTCAATCCCCCAATGAGATCTTGTAAAAGCAGACTTACAAGTTTTTAACAATGGAGACATGGAATAGAGAAACCCACAAGAAAAATAACTCCACATTAAATACCAGATGCTAATGTCTACCACCTCACACTCACCCCAACCCAGAGCAGGAAAAAACAACTGTGTTTTCGATGTAGGCAGGCTGGACACTGGGCAAAAGCATGCCCTAACCCGAGGCCACCAACCAAACCATGCCCAATATGTGGTCAATGGGGCCACTGGAAGACGGACTGCCCCCACCACGGATGCCCTCCCACGGAAGACCACTCATCTTTATTAGCGCCCTTCATAAGACTTGATGGTGCCTGGGATTCTCTATCCCCACAGCAAATGTGCCCTCAGACCCCGGGGTAGTTGGGTCGGTATCCAGTAAGACCATCTCTTTCCTACTGGATACTGTGCCAAGTCTTTGAGTTCTAACAGAATATAGTGGTCCACTCCTCTCTTCCTCAGTCTCAGTATTCGGAATGAAAGGCATACCCCTGCTACTCCCAAACAAACACTACCCTCAGTTGTTCCTTTGAAGATTTATCCTTCACTCATTCTTTTTTAGTAATGCCCCAATGCCCCGTTCCTCTTTTAAGACATGGAATCTTACACAATTTAGGAGCCATAATACATTTTGAATTTCTACGAGACAGTCTCTCTACCTTTTACTAGCACAGACAACTGGTCCCTTTATAAGTCCCCTTGAAATTTCACCAAAAATTAATCCCATAATTTGGAATACTGACATCCCTGTCATTTCCTATTACACCACACCCCTATAAAAATTTCATTAAGGGATCCTATGTATCAAATCACTGTCCCTCAATACCCCTTATTCCTGAGGGTCTCCATGACCTCCAACCCACTGTTTCCCCGATTTCTTGCAGCCCATGAAGGGAGAAGAGCAGAGAGCAGGACCCTAACCCAGAGAAGCAATGATGCCTGAGATGGAGGCAGAGACAATGACGTGAAGAGATGGAGCAGCTGGGGACTTTAGACCCAGAGAGGGAGAGGGGCTGTGTGCTGATGACCAGGGGGGAGGAGGGGGTCAGGTTTGAAGGATATACCCTTTGGTTAGTTAATGATGCATGGAGGGGATTGTAACCATGGCAATGAAACGATATACGTTAGGATGAATGTAAAACTAATGTCCGATGTAAACGATCACATAATTCACAACAATTTAAAAAAAAAGGTTATTTGCAATGAATAAGTTGTTGGTCTTACAAATTTTTTTCATGTGAATTCCAACATTATTCCTATCACTAAATCCAACTAATTTTTCAACTAATGATCCCTTCTCCTCCTTTCGAACCCTCAAATTCCAGTCACCAATGATTATCAATGTATCTTGATTATGCTTTAGCAGTTGGAAGAATTCTACAATTTATCATCACTGGTTTTAGTGGTTAGTGCATAAATTTGAATAATAGTGGTATTATCTACTCTTTTTTGTAGATGTATGGATATTGTCCTACCACAGCCTGCATTGTATTTTGAGTTAAGTAAGTGTAAAATTATAACCTACTCAATATAAAAAAATTAAACTATAAATTCAAGTATAAAGTAGCTACCATTTACTAAACTTCTATTTCAGGTGAGGCACTGTACAAGGGCTTTAAAGTTCTATTTATTTCCAATAAAACTTTCAATACAAGTTGTACTCCCCCATACAATCACAACTCATTAAGGACAACCTGTCATTCTGAAGCAAATAGTATGCTTCTGCATTTTGTAAAACAGCAAACAGTTGTAGGTTTACCTCCGCCATTAGTCCTTTTGATGACAAAGAATGCAAGTTGGTAGAATCACAGAAGTAGATACTAACTATAGAGAATTTAGTTTCTTAGATTTCAAAAGTCACATTTCTGAACATAAATTTAGAGATAGAACAAATATTGAATTCTGGGTGACTTTGCATAAAATACAACTTAAAATGCCTGAGGTTACAACCTGTTACAAAATAAGGTATCAAGCAAAAGTGTTCCCAATGTTGAGTCAAAAAAGTCCACTTAAATGATGCGACACTTCAAATATAGATGTGAAATCTGGAAAGGCCTACGGATTTTGGTTTTGACCTTTTTCATCACAGCACAGTTCTTACCCTTTTTTCCCACTTTTTTTTCGTGATTCTGTGGGTGTTGGAGGGGGAGGAGAAGGTGAATGCTTCCTCTTTCGAGCATTAGCTGCTGCTTTTCTATCTCTTCTCTCTGGACTTCGGACAGGCTAGGAAAAATTTAGTGGAAATAAGTATTAACCAGATTTGCATACTCCTCAGTTTCAACACACCCTGTCCAAATTTAAGTTTCCACAAATAAAGACTGTACCATATCCAATAGCTAAGAGTAAACTGAAGGCACACCATTAAGCACAAGGAACCACAAAGAACCCAGAAACTGCATTTATGGTAGCCTGTGGCTGATGGGAAAATAAGTAGTATCAACTTGTGCACCAACAATGACAAGTAACACCTGCACAACAAAAACGGTCCTTGTTTACAACTGTCTTTCCAAGATGTGAAAATAAGTGACAAATTCTATTAAACATATGAAATACAAATATGGACTGAATAATATAAAAATGCACAACAGAAAACTCTCAACAGTAACATTAGGAGTTAGCAGTTGTTTCAAAAAAACTTTTGAGATGTAATTACAAAAAATGTTTTAAATAAGATTTCAATTTATCAGTTAAGACAACTACACTTACTTACAAAAACAAAAGTGTACATATAAAAAATCCTACAGATTCCATACACAGCCCCCCAAAATACCCAACTATTTGAGCTTCAAAAAAGTCAATAATGGTACAGGACACATAACCAGTATAAATACGTGCCATGTGCATAATAACTACCAATTTGCTTTCAGTAACAGTGATATTAAATTAGAAATCTCTAAGACATCACTAGCGTCGAAATGAAGTTGTTTAAAAAATCTAATTCACACACTTTTGAGTAGTATTTTACAGCTGACGTAAAATTAAAATTTTTTTAATTGTAAAAAGGGACATTAAATCAATTTAGGTAAAATGTTGTGGTACTGCAGAATAATACACTGGACAGAAAGGTTGGTTTGAACTGCAATGTCAGTGGTTCAAACTCACCAAGTCCCATCTTGGAAACCCTATACAGGGTCACTGAGTCTGAACCAACTTGATGGCACTTACCACCATATCAACAACTAAATGAGTAAATAAGCAAATTATCTAAATCTGAAAAAGGGTGAACATGAAAAGCCAATTTAACCATTTGTTTTAAATGTTAGAATATTCCTGATGACATAAAAAAACTTGGTTTGAAATGCACTAAGGAAAATAAATAAGCACATCTGCCAAGGAAGGATTAAAACAAAGTTTGAAGAGTCAAATTTCAAAACAAAATGAAGACTATACATACATTCATCACAGCACAGTGATGTTTCAGTAGAAAAGTTAAAGGTAAGGAAAGAAAGCATGAAATAAAGTTTCTAAGGTAGCATCTAAACAAAAATCTGGCTCAAAGACTATACAGCTAAAACATGAAAAAAAGCATAAATTTTAAAAACTACACCAATAAAAAGGACAGGTATTACCAATTCTTTCTCAAGCTGCCACAAATCCAATACTAACACACCAAAGCTCTATTTTCCCACTCATGTCCGTCTGCAGTTACATTACAATTACCTCACAAGTCACAGGTAATAAAGGATAAAAAGTTATGTAGCTTGGACTTTTTAAAGGATTAAAGAATATAAAGTGTCAAAACGGCTTGAACTACATAACTCTGAAATCATTAAGTCCTGCACTTCGTATTAACTCCTACCAGTACATTAAAAAAGTTGTCAAAAATATTAAAACAAACTCAACAGCTAAATAAAATTATGCTATGATATTTGAAATATACAATTAAAACTCAGATCTAAAGGACAAAAGCAATTATAGCACTGCCATATTACATAGGCTGCTTTAAATCTTACCCCTTTTAGATTTTTATGCCGTTTTATGGCATTGATTATAATCATTTAGTACTTTTTACAGAACTTTGCAATTTACCAATGTAACACTAAATAACATATAGGCCAAGAAAAAAGTACAAACTAGCTGACAGAAATGGTGCCAAACTACATACCTCTTCATTCTTTGTTGAAATTCGCTGCCGAAAACTCACAGGCTTCCTGTTCTCATCCACCTCATAATCTTCCTCATTCATCCACTCATTAAAAACGTCAGTGTCCAAAATCCATTTCACATGAACCTAAAAAGGCATCAAAATATGAAAGCTACATAAACATAAAAGTACTCAAGGTTTTAATAAATCAAAGTATTAAAAAGGAAAGAAGCTGGCTTGTTATTTCTGACACCTCAACTTCCTAAAATTAAAAAGAAGATTTTTATGACATATGAGTGGCAGTCTAGTCATTACTAATTTTTATTCCCTATTTTTCATTGGGAGTCCTGATGTGGTACTGTGAGATAAAGCACTGGACTGTAAAGTCAGTTTGGACCACAGACTCTGTAGTTCAAACTCACCAGTCGCTCCTTGAAAACCCTATATAAGTTCACTATGAGTCGGAATCAACTCAATGGCACTAACAACATTTTTTACTGAGATATTAAGAGTAAGAAAAGGATCTAATACATGAAAAACTGCCCTGGGAACAAAAGTATTTCAAGAAACGAGATTCTACATGAGACTGTAAAATCAACATAGCTAAATAAACATAGGAGACCTGGTGTGGCTCTGTGGGTTAATGTGCCAGACTGCAAAGCCAATTGATCTGCAAGGTCAACGGTTCAAGCTCACCAGCCACTCCTCGGAAACCCTATTCAGGGTCACCATGGGTCAGAACCGACTCGACGGCACTTAACAACAACAACAACAAATAAACATACCTTCAGAATTCATACTAAATAAAAGTATTTTTTTTAAAGCTCAAATAATAGAATGATTCAAAGAAAACAAAACTGAATCACTAACTTCTATCTGTTCAATTCTATTCCTTTGACCTTTCAATGACCTGAACAGAGATCCAGGTGGTGGGAAGGTAAGGTAGATTACTGGATAAAATAGACTATCTTAAATGGAGGGAAAAACTAATGGAATATAATAAGGTAACCACAGTGGGGCTGGGGTGGAGGGTTTATTTTGGATGTTGGGGAGGGCAATACAAGAAGTGGGGAGGAGGCAGAAGAACAAGATAGATAAGGGAACACTGAGACAGGTTTGCATGGTCTAGTGGGACAGAGGTAAATAGTGATGCATATTCAACCTTGGAACAACAGAACTCTGGGATATAGGGATCTAGGTATAGCTTGCAGAGGGTAAATAATACTAAAATCCTTGACTGCCTTATGAATATTAGTTTCCCTTGCCTACTGTTGTAAAATAGACACTTGAGTGGGATAGAAAGGTATGTTGGGAAACATGATTAGAGAAAACTTATAAGCCTGCCTTCAGCCTATAACTGATTGGAATACCTCAAAAGGGTTCTATAACTTGCCAGTGAAATTGGCCTCATGCAAAACCTTTACAGAGTATAGGACTTTAGGTGGAATCCTGAGTCCCATCCACAACCTAGTGAGGTGAGACATTCCCACTAGAAAGGACAAGCAGACTCTAACAGCTACAGTGACAGAAGATACATCTTCATGATGAACCTGACCTATACTCAGAGCAGTAGTTATTCTAAATACCAACAGAGAGGGAAAGAGTCTTCAAATCAAGTATCAATGCTATCCCCTCTATGAACAGGGTAGATAGGGACAGGCAACTTAGACATTGGCTATCTAAAATGAAGGGGCAATAAAGGCACGAAGTGACTGGCTTACAAGGTTTCAAGAGGGAGTTTAGTTTAAGAGTATGGGGGGAAAGAAAGAGTCCCCAACTGAATCGCTGTAATCTTATCTAGATGGGTCTGGTAAAAAGAGATGGGGATAAGATTTGTAACATACAATAGTGAATAACTGTTACCATGACAAATCACGACTGTCACACTTGTAAAGGTAGAAGTTTTGTAACAAAAAAAGAGGAGTGGTTAATCTTACAGTCCAGAAACAGAGGACCCTAAGACCATCAAGAGAGGAACGCACAAATAGAATGCGGGACACCTTATCCAGAGAAGCAGCAGTGCCAGAGATGGAGGCAGAGGTGGGGGCATGGAGAGGGAGAGCGGCTGAGGACTCTAGATTCATCAACTAAGAAGAGAAGGACTAAGAACTGGTGGCCAGGAGCAGACTTGCGGAATGCGCCCTTTGGAGATATAAATTATTACATATGCCTGAGTGGGTTTTTTTCTTTGTGTGTTTTTTAAAAAGCTAAAGTGGATAGAGACAAATACTTTTAACTGATGGTATATGGAGGGGATTATAATCATTGTAATGACACAAGTTACATGAATTGTTGAATGTGAAACTGATGATGTGCCCTATAAACTTTCACTCAATCCACAATAAAAACTTTAAAAAAGAAAGAAAGAAAGAAAGAAAAAACGGAATCATTAATATAGCTAAAGAATGAGACTTTCTACACCTTGGAATAATAAGAAAACATGAAATAGTTTTAGAAGGGTGCTTCAGAAACTTCTTGGAAAAAATGTAATTTTAAAATAGCGGATCCCCCCTCCCCAACTCCATGAAGACCTGTTATATATATTTAAATGGTGTGAAGCTACAGCATAAGTAATGGACCTGCAAACATAACAGCCACTCCTCGGAAATCCTATGTAGAATGTTGCTGTGAATAGAAATCGACTCTTTCTGAACCATAAGGTCGGCGGTTCAAACTCACTAGCCACTCCTTGGAAATACTATATAGGGATCACAATGGGTTGGAACCAAGTTAACAGTACTTAACAACAACTATGGCAATTAACAGTAACAAAATGAATAGAAATAAGAAATAAAACTGAAAAGTACTTCCACAGTTAACTTAATAAGCTCACTCACATTAGTAACACACTGATTAAGAACCAACAATCATTAACAAATGATAATGCAGCTAATACTTAAGGGTTTTGTTTTAAATTTCAATTTCAATGAGCATTTGCTAGGCTCTTTTTCTACCGTAGCTCATTTTGCACCCAACTATAAAATTAGAAATGAATTATTAATAGCTCCATACAGCAGCTAAAATAAATCTAAACAATCACATCAATGAAAATGTACCATTATGTCATATAACGCTAACAATAAATTTGCCAATTTTAACTGTAAGATAAACTATAAAACAAACTCTGATTTCAGATACATCAAAACATGAAAAAATATACATGGCACAATCAAAAGATATGTTCGAAGTTACTCAACTACTAAAATAGGATTTAACCAAGGCAAGGTTGGCGTGTCAAGCTCACCTAATGTTCCTCAGAAAGACTATATAGCAGGGTCACTATGGGTCGGAACCAACTTGACGGCATTTAACAACCTCATGAAGGCATTCTGACTCATAATGGTCTGTGAGTTTGAACCGTAAACCTTGAGGTTAAATAGTACAGAGCTTATTCTAACGTGCCACACCAGGAATCCATGACAATAAACATAACACACCAAAAACCCATACTAATAGCTAGATATACAAAGATGAAAAAGACAAAGTTAATGACTTTATATCACAACCAACTAAGGAGAAAGACATTAAATAATTAAAACACAAGGAAATAAATAAAACTTGATATAAATCATTCTGATTACAGAGCTTGACGATCAAGCACAACTGCTTTACATAGAGACTTTTGAAAAGACCACAGAAGCACTAGGGGCTAAAAGTGATGATTCCTGATGTGAATGTCTGTCCTAGATGCCAGTAGAACACATGGTAGAAATTCCTAAAGTAATATTCTTTATAAAATTCTATCTCAAGGAAGAAAAAGTGATAGACCCAAAATATATTCATAGAAGCACTAGCATAGAAGCACTAGATTGTTGTTGTTGTGAAGTGCCGACTTGTACAGGGTTTATAAGAAGCAACTGGTGGGCTCGAACTACCAACCTTGAGGTTCAGTCTAGTGCTAATCTTATAGCGTGATATCAGTAGTCCAGTACTAGACTGCAAGAATTAAAAACAATAAAAAAGAATGACAAGAGTTTACAACAAACATTCCCGAGGCACAGAGCCCAAGGAAATGGGGCTTTATGGACAAGTATGCTGCCAAGGCATGCTTCCCCCGGACGCTTTGGAACTATGTATGATACACCTTCCTAAGGGCAGGGGAACTCTCCCTTCATAAACTCTCAAGGCTCCTCAGCCTAAAACTGGTTCACCAGATACCCTCAGGCCTGACCTACACTCGGGAGCCAAATTTGCTTGCTCATATTCACCATATTGTGAAGTTGTTGTTGTGAAGTGCCATTGAGTCAATTCAGACCCATAGAGACCCTTGTATAGGGTTTCTGAGGAGCAGCTTAGTGAGCTTGAACCACCGACCTTGCAGTTCAAACAGTTTTGCAGTCTGGTGCATTAAACCACAGCACTACACAAGGACTCCAGATTGTGAAGTAGCGTAAAGCCAAACACAGGTAACTGGGTGTTTTGAGATGAAGGGGGAAAAAAGGGGCTTACAAAATTTATATCCAATGAAATAATATAAAAGCACTACAATATGAAAGTTGCAATTATCATTTAATCCATGAAGACATAAGACTTACTACCTTAGTCTTCATTGTATCAGTACCTGATACAATGCGTAAAGAAGACAGTCAATAAAAATGTGTAGAATGAATAACTACAAAAATTCATTAAAGTTAAATACATAAAGTCTATATACATAATAAAGTCAGAGAAATACATAAAAAAATTAATTATTTTAAATCAAGGTGATAAAAAAGGTTTGTTTTTTTTTTAATGCCAAACTCTGTTATACTATTCTATTGTTATTGTTGTTAGTCTCGACACACAGTATCCCTGTATACAGTTTCTGAGGTTTTAAATTTTTGCAGGAACAGCACTCATTTTTCTTCAACTGAACAGCTGGTAGCTTGAAACACTGACCTTGTAATTCCCAGCCCAGCGCTTATAAAGCCACCATGCTGTCAATGTTATTATACAGCTATTTTAAATTTCACTTTTTAAATTACTGTACTCTTTCAGCAATATTAGGAATAAGGAATATTGTTCACTTGTCACATTTTCATTGAAGGAAATAAACATATAAAAAAATACACCTAATTCCAAAATGTTGTTGTTGTTGCTAATAGCTGTCCAGTTGTTTCCAACTCATAACGACCTTGTATAGGGTTTCCAAGGAGGGGCTGGTGAATTTGAAATGCTCACCTTGTGGTTCAAACAGACATTGCAGTTTACTGCTTATCCTACAGTGCCATATACAGCTCATTATCACAAAATCAAGAACACCTATTCAAGCTACACCCAGATCAAGAAATGTAACAGAAAAATAAATTAATGAAAAAAAATTTGACAGAATCAGTACTGGAACAAACCCCTCACATATGCTGCCCCAAGTCACAAGTTTCATAATACCCACAAGACTTCAAGAAGCAAAAATTAGTTTTTCCTGTTTCTGTACTTATATATATGGAATCATACAAGATATCCTGGTATTGGACATTTTTCACACAACATTAATCTGTGATATTTCTGCATATTCTTGCACGTAGCTTTAGTTTTTCATTTTTCAGTCTCATTGCTGTATCATATTATTTCAATTTCTGAACATTCCAATTTTGTCCATTTTATTGTTGATGGAAATTTGAGCAATTTCTAGTTTGAGACTATTATCAGTAACACTCTTACTCATGCTTTAGCTAACATATGCAGGCACTTCTATTAGGTATATATCTAGAAGGAGGAGACTCTCTGGGTGATACAAATGGTTAAGTGATTGGCTGCTAAATGAAAGCAAGGAGAACACAATAAAAACTTTAGAAGAATTCAGGAAAATGCTCCAAGAACAAACAGATAAAATAAATGTGAATTTTCAAACAATACAAAACCTGCAATTAGAAATTTAAAAAAAGATTAACATTAAGATTTCAAATATGGACACTGCATTGAAAGGACAGAGGAATAGATTCAAAGCAAGCAAAGCCCAATTTAGTGACCTTTAAGATAAATCTACCAATATGCTAGAATAATCAGAAAAATGAATGAAAAAATCCAAACAAGCCTCAGACGTATTTATACTATGAAGAGAAACAGCTTATATATGATCGGAATTCCAAAATAGGAAGAGAAATGGAAAGGAAAAGAAAAGAAAAAAAAAAAAATCACAGAGAAAATTCATAAAGATAAAGAGGTGCTGAAGGAAACTTCCCAAACATTATGAAGGACAAAAAGAAAATCATACAAGAAGCTGAATGAACCCCAAACAGGAGAAAGATCACCAAAACATAACAATCAAACTTTTCAAAATCAAAAACAAGGAATCTTGAGAACCGCTCGGGGGGGGGGAAAAATGGAAAGTTAACTACAAAAGAGAACCAATAAGCCTAAACCCTGAATTCTCAATAGAAACCATGCACGCAAGACGTCAAAAGAATGACATATACAAAACTCTGAAAGAAGTAAACTGCCAACAAGAATCATATGCCTAACACCAAAGGTGTTCCTGAAAAATGGCAAAATTAGGACATTTCCTGATAAAGAGAAATTAAAGGAATTTATAATGACCACAACAACTTTACATAAAATGCTAAAGGGTGTTCTTTGGACTGAAAACCAACAAGAGCAGACAACAGCCTGAGATTATCATATCTGACATCAACACCCAGAAATCAATCAATATATAGAAAAACTTTTAAAAAGATTCCTACAAGACTGAAAATAGGAAATCAAAGAAACCGATTTATAACGAAGTCAACTACAAAGCAATAAGAGAGAAGAGTGCAAATTAATAACTTCTACATCTCTAAGAACTCAAGTAGATTTCAAGATGAAACAGACTGTTCGAAGGGAAAAACAGTAAATTACAGGGTAACCTCAAAGAAACATAATACACTTGTACATCAAAAAAAAAAAAAATCATATTTAGTAAACATTAACAACAAAAACGAAAAAGAAAACTCATAAAACTAACTCAGCATAGAAAATTAACTGCAATTTTTTTTTATCCATGTACTGTGTAAATGGGGTCCTAGTCCTGGTGTGGTGCTGCAGGTTAATACACTGGACTACAAGGTCAACTTGAACTGCAAGGTTGGCGGTTCAAGCTCACCAACTACTCCTTAGAAACCCTATACAGGGTTTCACCTACACTTAACAACAACAACTCTATAAATATTACTAATTTTCACAATTTACGTTTTAAAAATTAAGTGTTAAATTTTTCACAAAATACACAAACTATTTTTTAAAGTAATACACAAAAATATACCAGTTCAAACTTTGATACAAACTCAAATTCAGAGATTTTATAAATGCTTCAAAAATGCGACTGTCATAGCAGATAAAAGAAAAGTTGAAACACTGCCATGCTCGCGAGCTAAAAACTAAATGTGTGTGATATTGGGCTGGATCAAGGGAAATTTTACTACAAAGTATATTACTGAGAAATTTGGTAGAATTGTAACGTGGATTTTATATAGATAATATTGTTGTTTCATGAAGTAATCATTTATAATATCATACTGTAAGTCATATAGGTATTGCTTCCGGTCTTCCTAAATGGTATTATCAATTATATTCAACCTCATTTCTCACGTCACACTCTTCTCTCAACTATCTCATATCAAAATAAGACTTGACTTTGGAATCCCCGCAAATGTTTCCTTTAGAAATATATAATAATGCCTTCAGGGTTGTAAATATATTTTAAATAGATGATGAAAAAGGGAGACTATCATTCTGGATGTCCTTAAAATATTGTTGTAGAGTTTTATCATGTTAATTAAAAATTTTTTTTTTTTTTTAAGAAAAGCATGATTCACCTTCCATGGTTTTTCTGGAATTGGTGGTTCTTCGATTTCAGCATCAACATCACTGCTGTGCACCCAAGTATCATAGCTATAAATGAAGAATAAATGAAAAACAAATGAGAATTCAAATTCATTAAAAGATTTGTATTAAACAGAAAAATATCTTTTTTAGAAATATTATTTGGACCCAGTTGAGCAAGTTACCAGATACTTTGTCTGTTATCATTCCAGCAAGAAAATGCTTTTACAGATCACCAATACCTTTTCACTACGTTAAACCCAAAGTACAGTCCTCAGTCCACATCTTATTCAATCTTCAGAGAAAATTTTAAGCAGTTGATCACTCTCCTCAAAGCACTTCCTCACATGGCCTCCAGGACAGTACAATCAGTTGGTGTTCCTTCTACCCTTTCCTCTGTCTTTCCCCAAAACTACATCAAGACTGAAAGATCCAAGGGCCCACTCCTTTCTATATCTACTCATTCTTCTGGTATTCCTAAATGCTAAGGTCTTGGTATGGTGCTGTAGGATAAGGACTGGACTACAAACCCACTTCATGTAAGCAGGGCTGCTATGAGTCAGGAACTGACTCCACAGCACTTAACAACAACAACAACAACATATCAGTGCTAGCTCCATTATTCTAGTTCCTCAAGTCAATAACCTTAGAGACACTCTCAATCAAATCTACCAGCTTCAACTTTAAAATATGTCCAAGGTCTAGTTCTAAAATCTTAAATTCTTCTAGTTTCTAGGCTTCTGGCTACAGCAACCAGATTGATTCTTTTTTAAGAAAGTCACACCATTATCACTCCCCTGCTCAAACCTTCCAGAGGACCCCCTCTAATTCAGAATGAACCCCTCTAATTCAGAATGAAAGTCAAAGTCATGGGGACTTCCAAAAAAAGATGGCAGATTGGGTGGAGGTGTAGTGACGAGCTCGGCCAAGAACAGCACAGAATACAGGACCAAGAAGGCTCAAGGAATAGTCCTAGAACTCTGAACCACATATAAAGGAATATTTAGAAGGTTGGAAGAATTACAGCTGGGGAGTTTGTGGCAGAAGCAAGAAATCAATTGCTTCCTGGTTCAGGATGCTCAGCTGCTCCAGGAGCCGCCATTTTGTGTAGGGTCAAGCGGGGAAAGGACCAGAGCAATCACGGATGCCTGACAGAGCCACAAAGATAGAGGTGTGGACATTCTTTTTTTT